GATGTCATGCTTGGTAAGGTGGAGGGTCGACGAAAGAGGGGGAGGCCTTCAGGAAGATGGATTGATACAGTGGCTGCGATGATGGGCTCGAGTATAGCATGGATTGTGGGGCTGGCGCGGAATCGGGCAGTGTTTCGTTCTGCTGTGCGTTGGGTCGCTATGAGTCGGAAATAACTCGACGGCACTTAACAACAACAACAACATATATATATATATATATATAATTTTTTATTTTTTGGTTATATATTTGAGTACCTTGAAATTCCTTTGGCTGTATATCTAAAAGTGTAATTGCTAGGTCACATAGTGGTTGTTAAACTTTATAAGAAATAACTAAATTATTCTCTGAAGAGGCTGTAGCATTTCACACACTCACCAACACTATATGAGAAGACAGTTAGTTCTTACTGATTGGTACTCAGCTGGATTAAACTCACTGCCATTGAGTCAGTTCCATTGTTGATGAGGTTGCCTAAAATTCTTTCCATCATTGTGGAAAATGGTGAAAATGAATTAATAAATAAAAATATGTAAATTAAAATTATCAGTGAACCATGTCATGTCATTAGGTATCTATCAATATGAAATATTTCAATATTAATGATAAGATTGTCTATCAAAAATTAATTTTTTCCTCATAAAGGACATTTAAATACTAAGGACACTAGTATATATATAATGTGGCATACATTTTAATTATGTAGTATACTTGTATCATATCTAAGAATTACATCTTTAATTCTTTTACACTTAAAATTGTTGCTTTTATGTTACAGGTATTAACAGTGTATGCTTTGATGAGGAATCAAAACATATAATGGCGATGAAATCTTTAGAGGGAGAAGTTGTACCTTTTAAAAATAAAGTTCTCCTATCAAATAATGTGGAGGTAAACAATTATTTTTCACATGTCAAAATAAAAACAATTACGTGAACTTTATATCAAAAATAACTTAAGCAGTTTGGAGTAAAGTTAATTAATTCAGGCCCTTAAAGGCACTCATCTCTTACCTTATATTGTGACACTTTTTTTTTTTTTTACCACAAATTTTAATTTCTGTTGAAGCATATTATGCATTCTCATCAGTACACATATATATAACTTAGTTTGATTATAAGGCCAACATTTAAAAGTACAAACTAGATGGGATTTCATGTTGTTACCAGAGGTCAATTGGCTACAAAAAAGGTTTTTTTGCTAACCAAAACAGAGGGGAAAAACGCACATACAAAGTTAATATAACCAGAACCTCCATCCCTACAAAACTCAGGGAAAGAAAATTAAATGGACAAACAAAACCCACCAAACTAAGACCAACAATACAAACCAACACAGTAATCTAAGGATAGAACTATGTAATTGTCACCTTAGTGTCAAAAAAAAAAAAAAAAAAAAAGGATTAACATAAGGAAAATATATATTCTCTACAGAGCATATTTAGATTGATTACACTAAAATAATGCCATTAGAATTTCATCATAGGTTTTAAACCAGGACAATACTGCTCTTTTATTTTCTTCATTTAGAATTACAACCTAATGACTATTGGTCATAAGTATGATAGTTGTTACAAACACTGTTTATTTTGATCATAGTGTTTTAATATTAAAAAGAATATGGAAGAATTAAAATATAAAAAGAATATATCTTTGGAAGACAGCATGTAATAATGAAATAGTTTTGGCTTTGGAGTCAAAGGGACTTAGATTTTAATCTTAGCTTCACATTTTATTGTTGTTGTTGTGTGCCATTGAGTCAAACCCGACTCATAGTGACCCCTCCTCATTTTATAAGCTGTATGAATTAAAGCCTCAGTTTTCTCATCTTTAAAATGGAATCTTAATGTCTGTTGCAAAATATTCTATTTGCAAATTAAAGAAGATAACTAGTATGATTTAGGTGAACACTTGAATCTAGAGCATTTTTAGGGAAACTGTTGATTAATTGGTTCTAAAGAACTGGAAGTAAACTAACTAAAGGCCTATTGCAGATACATAGTGCAAGCTGCAGCAGTAGGCTGTATCACATTGAATTGAAATTTTCAGTTTCCAAAATTATCTTCCTAACACAAGTCATGGGCCATGTCTTATTATGTATGTATGTGTAAGGCCTAACATAATGTCCAGTCTTAATTAGGTTTCAACATTTCATTGGATGTTGAATACATAATCAGGTAATTGTAAGCATAGAAGGTTTATTCTAGCTCCTGTGTTTGGTGAAGAATTTTTTTTTTAATTCCTTTTTGGTAATTTTGTTGGGAGCAGATGAACAGAGGGAGAAAGAGGTTAAGTTTCAGTAACTGGCCTAGAGCAGTTTTGCCCCCACAGGGAAGGCTGGAACTCTGCAAGCCCTTGTGATGATTAGCTGAATAGATAGATGTCTCTGTTGCCTCACTCTGAAAGCCAGATTCTCACTCTTTAATAGCTTTTGAGCACAGGTTCATGCTATTTTTAATACTGGAAAATGCTTTACAGATGAATAAGAAAGCTAGGTCTGAGAGTTAATTTATAATAAATAATGATGAAACATTTATTTTAAGATTTTACTTTTGCCCTGATATTTTTATTTTAAATGATACAGTTTTATAAAGTCATTTTGTAATGATTTATATATATTCATTATCATTATTTATCAGTGGTCATTATTATTTTAGCTTTAATTAACTTTTAATATTTTAACTATAATCAAATACTTGGAAGAATGTATTGTTTTGATTTTGAAACAAAATTAGTTTTGCTTAAAGAGTTATATAGCCCTCAAATAATACAGTTCATTCTGATGAAGCAATTCCTTTCTGAATATGAGGTTACCAGTATAGCATGAGTCATGGGGCTTAGTCACTTTAGTTTATTGGCCCAAATTTCTAGTTTGATTTATCATAATGATAAGATGAATGGGTTACTTTTAAAATGTTTATATGTGTGTGTGTGTGTGTGTATGTGTGTGTATGATAGTGATCGCTAACCACAAATTTGTGAGTTTCCGTATATACCATTTTCAAAAGAGATGAATATATTGTTCTTGTTATTTACATCATTTATTAATAAAATAGTTGCATGTCTTGTAATACATTTTGGGAGTGTGGGAGTCAATAAGGAAGTATAATAATCATCTGTCCTGAGACAAAAGGACAGACAATAAATAGCTTGTGTATTTGTTTTATGACTTATAGATTATTTTATAATTTTATTTTCAGATTTGGTTAAATGATTTATCATTGGAAATGAAAGAAACTTTGAAACAGTTGTTGAAAGAATGTGTGACTGCTGGGAGAAGTTCTCAAGGTGCAATTGACCCATCTCTGTTCCCTTCACAGGTAAGAGGGCTTATGTATTGAATATATAGGTTGCCATGGTGTCATGGGATGATCCCTGACCTAAGAATTAGGAGGCTCAATCTACTAGTATCTTTGTTCTCCCTTTATCTATCAGTTAACATGTACATAATGCTGAGCTTCTAGGTCTTAGTTCCTTAAGTGTAAAATGTAGGCATTGAACTGCATGATGGTAAAGTTCTCTTCTAGCACCATTAGTTTGCCATAATTTAGATGTTTTCAAGCAGAAGGCATGCTGAGATCTAAGCAACAAAAGTCAGTGATGAATGGGATGAGGAGGGAAGATTCAAGTGTGTAGTAGCTTCCTAGTTCTAGGTGAATAGTCTATTATGATGAAGAGGCATAGGACCTAAATGCTACCTCTACATCTTCCATCTGAAAGGTTTGAACTTGCAAAACCTTATCAGGGTATTAGCCTAGTTCTGACATATAGTCATAAAACTGAACTGTAATATTGGCAGAGAAGCTGAGAAGTAGGCCATATAGTGGGTTGTAAGGTTTGATGTAACTCAGTGTTAATAGACACTCATGCCTGGAACATTGCTTACTAGATACATATTTATTTTATTGGTGGTTGGGACTAACCCTATGTGATCATGTAAGTCATCAGCAACTTTACTTCTTAGGGGCAGTGGGAAGTAGGCATTCAGATGTTTATGTTTTCTCATAGGACAGTATAGCCAACAGTTTTCAAAGATTTATGTTTCAAATTGAAAAATTTAGTTGCTTTGGCAACAGGTTTCTAATACTGGTTCTCCTAAAGTATGAGAAATTAAATAGAAACCTTGGAACTCTTTAGATTCTTATCTGTTTTATCATCCATGTATTTTGCATATTTTAGCATTTAGAGTCAAACTAAAATGTGTTTTAAAAAATCTGAAGTTCTTAGAGAAAAATAAAAGTAATCATCACTGAGTAATCAATGCCTTTTTAAAGTCAAAGTTAACTTGCTTTATTACCTCTGAAAATGTTTATTAATACTTTGCCAGCTTCACAGGTAAGGAGGCTTAGGTATAGGAATATATAGGTAAAAGTTGACTTAGAATAAAAGACACTATGTAAAAAAAAGCAAACAAACAAACATCAAAGCAAGAATTGCATAATAATTGGGCTGCGGTGGTAGTAATTCTATCAAGTGGTTTACTGGTAGGATGCTGAAGAAAACTACCAGGTTTCAACCAAAATTTGCCTCTGAGCTCTTGAGCCGTCAAGTTAAATATGAGCTATTAAAAATATGAATATTTCATTATCTAGCAAAATGAGGAATTTGAGTCTATTAGCACTTAACACAAAAAATTATTTCGAGAACATTTATATAGAAAGATTGAGTAGAATTAAGTGAGTATAGGAATATGTAGTAAAAGTTATTATGTACTGTTACTTCACTTCTCTAAAAACATTTTTGTAAGGTCCTAGAATAGAGAAGACGACTCCTGGTCTGGGGAGAAGCATTATGGTAAATTGGAAAGAATTTTTCCGACCTCAGTTCACATACTGCTTTTGCCAGTTATTCTGTGAGTGACACTTACTTTTTTTTGACCCCATGTGACAGAATAGAACTGCCTCATAAGAGTTTTTTTTTTTTAATTATTTTATTTTTGTTTTTGTTGAGAATATGTACAGCAGAACATACCAATTCAACAATTTCTACATGTACAGTTCAGTGACTTTGATTACATTCTTCGAGTTGTGTAAACATTCTGATCCTCCTTTTCTGAGTTGTTCCTCCTCCATTAACATAAAATCACTGCCCCCTAAAATAAGGTTCATCTCTAGTATTTTGAGTTGCTGTTGTCGGTGTGATCCGTTAGATTTTGAAAGAGTAAAGAGTACAGTGTTCAAGGCAGACATTCTTTACTAGTTAAGCCAAACTATTATTTGATTTTAAGATATTTTTTGGGATACCGTTTCAGGATATTTTTGGTTTAAGGTTTAAAGATTTTGACAGTTAAGAGGGTATAATGCTGAAATATATTCATATGTAATATAAAATATGCTGTACTTTATTATTTTTATGTTGTTGTTGTTGTTATGTGCTGTCGAGTCAGCCCCGACTCATAGCGACCCCTCCTTGGGTTTCCGAGGCAGTGTCTCTACAGAAGTAGGATTGCCCAACCTTCCTTCCGAGTATTATTTTTATATGTAATATAAAAGTATTCTATATTATACACCTATATTACCAACTTTTATGAAGGTTAAATCATATAATGTATGCAAAGCACCAGTACTGATCATTACATAGTGGCCAAATGATCAGGTATGTCTAGGCCAAAGGGCATATACCCATGACCATATGTAAGGTTGGCAGACAATATTTCTACATACGTATTTGTATGTGTTGTAAGAATGTCCATATAAATAGAACAAACGGGACAAAGTTAGGATAACTTCTTAGCCACAGCTAACCACCGTGAGGGAGCAACTGGTTGGATCTGTGGGCTTGGGACTACGGTCGTAGGAGACATCAAGCTTAATTGGCATAATGTTGTTGTTAGGTGCCGTCAAGTCAACTTCAATTCATAGCGACCCTATGCACAGCAGAATGAAACACTGCCTGGTCTCGTGCCAGCTCTGTGATCCCTTCTATACTTGAGCCCATCACTGCAGCCACTGTGTCAATCCATCTCATTGAGGGGTTTCTCCTCTTTTGTCAACCCTCTACCTTACCAAGCATGACATCCTTTCCAGGGAATGGTCCCTTCTGATAACATGACCAAAATAGTAAGACAAAGTCTGGCCATTCTCGCTTCCAAGGAGCCTTCTGGCTGCAGTTCCTCCAGGACAGATTTGTTAGTTCTTTTAGCAGTCCATGGTACTTTCAGCATTCTTCATCAGCACCACAACTCGAAAGCATCAGTTCTTCTGTCTTCCTTATTCATTGTATAGCTCTCAAATGCATATGAGATGATTGAAAATATCGTGGCTTGTGTCAGGTCTACCCTGGTCCTCAAGTAGACATCTTTGCTTCTCAGCACTTGAAAGAGGTCTTTTGTAGTCGACTTTCCCAGTGCTATACGTGGTCTGATGTCCTGACTACTGCTTCCATTGGAGTTGATTGCAGAAGCAAGCAATGTGAAGTCTTTGACAACTTCAGTTTTCTCTCCATTTATTGTGATGCTGCTTATAGGTCCAGTTGTGAGGATTTTTGTTTTCTTTATATTGAAAAGTAATGCATACTGCAGACTATATTCTTCAGTCTTCATCAGTAAGTGCTTTAAGTCATCCTCACTTTCAGCAATCAGAGTTGCGTCATTAGCATATTGCAGGTTGTTAATGATTCTTCCTCTAATACTAATGCCCACATTCTTCATATAGTCCAGCTTCTTGGATTACTTGCTCAGCATATAGATTGAATAAATATGGGGAAAAGCTACAGCCCTGATGCACTCCCTTGTTGATTTTAAACCATGCAGTGTCCCCTTGTTTTGTTCGAACAATAGCCTCCTGGTCTATGTACAGGTTTCTCATGAGTACAATTAAGTGTTCTGGAATTCTTTTCAATGTTAGCCACAATTTGTTATGATCCAAACAATTGAATGCTTTTGCAGAGTCAATAAAACACAAGTAAACATCCTTCTGGAGTTCTTTGCTTTGAGCCAAGATCCATCTGACATCAGCAATGATATCCCTTGTTCCACATCCTCTTCTGAATCCAGCTTGCACCTCTGGAAGTTCCCTGTCAATATACTGCTGCAACTGTTTTTGAATTATCTTCAGTAAGATTTTACTTGAGTGCTATATTAATGATATTGTTCTATAATTTCCATATTCCGTGGGATCACCTTTCTTTGGAAGGACTACAAATATGGATCTCTTCCAATCAGTCGTCCAGGTAGCTGTCTTCCAAATCTCTTGGCATAACCGAGTGAGTGCCTCCAGTGGGACATCTGTTTGTTGAAACATCTCAATGGGTATTCTGTCAATTCCTGGAGCCTTGTTCTTCACCAATTCCTTCAGTGCAGCTTCGACTTCTTCCTTCAATACTATGGATTCTTGATCATATGCCACCTCCTGAAATGGAAGAAGATCTACCAACTCTTTTTGGTACAATACTCTGTGTATTCCTTCCATCTTCTTTTGAAGCTTTCTGCACCATTCAGTATTTTGCCCATTGAAACTTTCAGTATTGCAACTTGAGGCTTAAAGTTTTTCCTCAGTTCTTTCAGCTTGAGAAATGCTGAGCATGTTCTTCCCTTTTGGTTTTCTAACTGCAAGTCTTTGCACATTTCATTGTAGTAATTGGCTTTGTCTGCTCAAGCTAGTGCCTAAGCATTTGACGCTAACCAGAAGGCTGGCGGTTCAAATCCACCAGTCACTCCTCGGAAGGAAGGTTAGGCAATCTACTTCCATAGAAACCCAAGGAGGGGTCAATCTTGAGTTGGGACCGACTTGTCAGCAGTGAGTTTAGTTTTTTTGGTTTGGTTCAGCTCTTTTATCTGGTCATTTATTCCTTTTGCTTTGGCTACTCTGCACTCAAGGGCAAGCTTCAGAGTCTCTTCTGTCATCCATTTTGGCCTTTTCTTTTCTTCTCATCTTTTTAATGACCTCTTGTTTCTCTATGGATGATGTTCTTGATGTCATCCCACAGTTATTTTGGTTTTAAGTCATTGGTGTTCAGTGCCTCAAATCTATTCTTTAGATGGTCTCTAAATTCAGGAGGGATATATTCAAGATCATATTTTGGCTTTTGTAGGCTTGTTTTAATTGTCTTCAACTTCAAGTTGAACTTGCATATGAGCAGTTGATGTCTGTTCCACAATTAGGTCCTGGCCTGGTTTTGGCTGAAGATAATTGAGCTTCTCCATCACCTCTTGCCACAGATGTAGTCAGTCTGATTCCTCTGTACTCCATCTGGCGAAATCCACATGTATAGCCCCTGTTCATTTGTTGAAAAAAGGTATTTGCAAAGAATAAGTTGTTGGTATTAAAATTCTATCATGAGATCTCCAGTGTTATTTCTGTTACCAAGGCCAAATTTTCCAACTACCAGTGATTCTTCTTTGTCTCCAACTTTTGCATTCCAGTTACCAGTGATAATTAACACATCTTGATTGCACGTTCCATCAATTTCAGACTGCAGAAGTTGGTAAAAATCTTCAATTTCCTCATCTTTGGCTTTGGTGGTTGGTGCATAAATTTGAATAATAGTCGTATTAACTGGTCTTCCTTATAGACCTATGGATATTATCCTATCACTGATAGCATTGTGCTTCAGGACAGATCTTGAAGAAATATTCTTTGCAATGATGAATGCCATGCCATTACTCTTCAAATTGTCATTCCTGGCATTGTAGATCATATGGTTGTCTGATTCAAAATGGACAAAACCAGTCCACTTCAGCTCACTAATGCCTAGCATATCAATCTTTATGCATTCCATTTCATTTTTGACAAATTCCAATTTTCCTAGATTCATACTTCATACATTCCATGTTTTGATTATTAATGGATGTTTGCAACTGTTTCTCCTCAATTTGAGTCATGTTACATCAGCAAATGGAGGTATCGAAAGCTTTATTTTATCCATATCAGTAAGGTTCATTCTACTCTGATATGCCGCTCTTTTCCCAGTCATATTTTGAGAGCCTTCCGACCTAAGTGGCTTGTCCTGTGCTGTATGAGGGTGTTTCCGGCTACTCATATAGTTGCCTAGTATTGTAACAGATACTTTTTCTCTGCTATTTATGAAGTTTTTTTCTGGCCAATTCTTTGAGAAGTGGATGGCCTCTTCCTTTTTCCTAGTCTGTCTCAGTCCTGTGCACCATGTATAACCCTGCTGGCATTTGAAACACCAGTGGCACAGCCTCAAGCCTCACAGCAACATGCCACCACAGTATGACAAACCGACAGACAAGTTTATCTCCCTTAGCTGTTCGAAACCTTTCCACCCTCCCCTTACCTGCATCCCTGCCGCTTGCTAGCTCTGTCATGGATGCCCTGGTTTTCCTTTCCTTTCCCCTCTGCTTTTCCTGCCATTGGGGGTTGGGACCTGGGTCCCTCCCCTTATCTGGATCCCTCTGCCACTTGCTTCCTCTCTCCTGGATGCCCTGGCTTAAAATTGGCATAATATACTACACAAAAACATTGTTCTTTATCTGACTTTGGTGAGTAGTAACTGGGATCTTAAAAGCTTACAAGCAGCTATCTAGATAGAACAATGAATCTTTCCTTGTCCAGTGCAAAGAAGAATAAACAAAACCAAAGATGCATGGAAACAATTAGTCCAAGGGACAAGTGGACCATGTGAACCTTAACCTGTTTGGCATAAGACCAGAGGAACTAGATGGTGCCTGGCTACCACTGCCAACCCCTCAGAAAGGGCCAGTGCAGGAGATCCTGGATATCTTGTGAGAACATTGTGGAGCAAAACTCAAATCATAAAAAAAAGATCAGGTTTACTGGTCTGATATAGTCTGGTGAGACCCCTGAGACTATAACCCCAAGTTACCCTTCAGGCCTGAAATTGAATGCACTCCTGTGGCTTCCAATCAAACAATAGACAGGCATATAGGGTCAACATTTATACTAAGTAGGTACACTCCTTAGAACAATCAATCGTGAGTGAACAGTAGTGCAGTATTTGCACAGGGAGATAGCTCAGGGGGCAGGAATGCATAGGAAAGAAGGACACAGGGAAGATGTAACTATAGGGAGGAAATGGGAAGAGAGCTGTTACATTGTGGGGAATTGCTGTCAATGTCATGAAGCAAAATGTGTATGAATTTTTGTATGGGCAATGAATTTGCTCTGTAAACTTTCACCCAGATCACAATAAAATGTATGTATGCATGTGTATTATATAAGTAAGTAAGTAAATATATATATATATGTATATGTTATGCCTTTCCAGATTCCTGAAGGTACTTGAGAATCAACAAAGACTGTATCTTAACTATTGTTCTGTTCACATTTTATAAAATTGTATAGCAAAGTGTTAAAAATTGGGATTATTAATGTGCATCTACAATGAAAAAGTTCATTACTATTGACTGAAAGGACACATAGCTGAATATTAAGTTTGGATGTAGCAAGTGAACTGTCCTATATGATCTCTGTGAGTTAATATTGACTTGACAGAAGTGGGTTTATTTAATTTAAGAGAAAACTGGAATTTTGGAGGTGTAGACTTCACTGGTACGCTGAGAAATTATTTTGAAATGTTAGAAGATTGTTCTTTTATTAAATAGAATACCATACTTTGGTTTCTGTTCATCCTACTGGTTGATAAGAATCCATGTGTGAGGAAGGTCAGAAGAAGAAAATACAAAGGCCAACAACAAGCTTGGTGACTTTGAGGACCAGATATAGGTGAGGGATATAGGTGAGATGAGTTCTCAGAGGTAGCCTTGAACTACACCACACAATGTTTTTTTCTTCTCAACATTACTCTACTAGTGTTCAAGGTGCTAGTAAGACTTTCAGGTAGAGAGATTCATATACAATTGGAAATTTTGGAGAAGGTATGTTTCATTACATTTTTATAATTGTGTCTAAGGATATTCTCACATACATATTTGTATGTGCTGTAAAAATGTCCATATACATACACTATAGAGTTAACAGAGGACAGAATAAGGATAACTTAGCCATAACCAAGCACCTTGAGAGAGTGAGTCACTGGTCCTGCAGGCTTGGGACCATGGTTTCAGTGTACATCAAGCTCAGTTGGCACAACATAGTACACAAAAACATTGTTCTGTGTACTACTTTGGTGAGTAGCAACTGGAGTCTTCAAAACTTTTGAGTGGCCATCTGAGATGTAACTATTGGTCTCTCCTCATCTGGAGCAAAGAAGAATGAAGAGAATCAAAGGCATATGGAAAAAAAATTAGTCCAAGGGGCCAGTGGACCATGGAAACTTCAGCCTACATGACCATGAGACCAAAAGAACTAGATGATGCCTGGCTACCAAATGCAGCCATTCCCAAAGCGAACAAAATTGGAGATCCTGGATAGAGTGGGAAAAAAAATGTGGAACAAAATTCAAAAAAATAGAAAAAACAAAAACAAGATTACAGGTTGGATAGACACTGGTGAAAACCCTGAAACTATGGCCCAAGTCACCCTTTGAGCCTGGAATGGGACTCAGTCCCATGGCCTAATTCACAGCCAAACAATAGACCACAGCAGGGAGATGCACTGCTTAGAACAGTCAACCATGGGTGATCAGAAGGGCAGCATTTGTACAGGGAGAAAGCTAGGCAACTAGGAAGGCATAGATAAGAAGGACACAGGGAAGGGGTAGCCACAGGTAGGAAGTGGGAGGATAGCTGTTAATATCTTGGGAATTGTAATTGATATCGTGACGCAAAATGTACATGAACTGTTGAATGTAAAATGAATCTGCTTTGTAAAATTGCACCTAAGTCACAATAAAAAGTTAAAAAAAAATTAAAAGTAAAAAATTAATGTCTAAGTAAATTCACCTTTCTGAAAATAAATTTCCTTTTTTTTCAATAGGTACTGTGTTTGGCAGAACAGATTAAATTCACTGAAGATGTAGAAAATGCTATCAAAGATCATAGTCTTCATCAGATGGAAACACAACTGGTGAATAAATTAGAGCATTACACTAACATTGATACAAGTTTTGAGGATCCAGGAAATACTGGTATGAAAAAATGTCCCCCCTCTGTTTTCTTTTGAGTTATTTGAACATTATTTTAGTATTCTATCTTATCTATTGTGTTTTTGACTGTATAGTTTTATGTATGTGTATGTATTTTTTGTGGTTATTCTAGGAATTACAATATACATACTTAACTTTTGATATTTTACTTCGAATAAAATACTTCACCACTTTAAGTGGATGTGGAAATCTTATCACTGTAGACATTTCTTTGTCTTCCTCTTTTTATGTTGCAATTGTCAGTTATATTGAGAACTCCATGAGATATATACTTAGTCTTTAAACCATCACACGTATTTTAAATACCTTAAATGGAGGAAAATAGCCTATTATCCACATGTGGTTTCCCTTCCTTCATTTCTCATGTTCCAAGGTTCCTTTTTGTATAATTTTTCTTCTGTCTGAAGAACTTAATTTGGCCTTTTTTTTTTTTTTTAAATTTCTGTTGTGATTTGGGTGAAAGTTTATAGAACAAATTCATTTTCCACACAGCAGTTTATACACATTTTGTTTCATGACATTGACTGCAATTCCCTACAACGTAACAGCTTTCTTCCCTCTCATTCCCTGTAGTTACTACTTCCCTGTGTCCTTCTTTTCCATGCATTCCTGCCCCCTGAGCTATCTCCCTGTGCAAATACTGGCCTTCTGTTCCCCCATGATTGCTCATTATATGGAATGTATCTTCCTGATGTAAATGCTCACCTTATATGCCTGTCTATTGTTTGGCTGGAATCCAAGGGAGTGAGTCCAATTCCAGACCTGAAGGGTGACCATAGTCTTGGGGGTGTCACCAGGCTGTATCAGATCAGTAAACCTGTTATAATTTGTGTTTGTTTTAAGAGGTTTGTTGACTATGAATTCTCAGATTTCGTTCATCATGTTGTTGTTGTTATGTGCCCTTGAGTCAGCCCCAAGCCGACAAGCTGAACAGAGAGGGGGAAATAATTAAGGGGAAAAAAAAAAAACCAGAGCATCAGGGACCTGAGGGATGCTGTGAAAATGTATAATGTCCATGTCATAAGAGTCCCAGAAAGAAGAGAGCAGAACTCTTTCTGTGACTATGCCTTTGTCCTGGGCCAATTGAGGGGAACACAGAGAGGAAAAAACAACTGTGGTTTGCCTTATT